TACTAGCTAAAGACAGAAAAACAAAGAGGACAGCTATACCACCAATTATGTTCTGCTGGAACTGGCAGAACAGAGGAGGTTCTCCAGCCGTGTTTTCTCCCTGGAGAACAACCTGGTGTTCACTTGACAAAATAACTGGCTCAGCTGATGTCGCTCGGTTCCTGTTTTCAGCTGAGCCAAGTTCTTGCAATTTATAGTGTTCGTTGCTTTCCTTAAGAACTCGACAACATTTGTATCACATTGCATTCTATTTATCTAAATCTGGAAGAACCATATTTCAGCGCATGTTTCACAGTGAGAATAGCACTTCCCACTGCCTGAAACAAGAGAGGACGTGGACTAAAAAGCAGCAGATATTCCTGTTTGATTATATTGTGAAAAGACAAATGTTCAGGCCTTGCTCTTCACTGAAAAACTGGATAGGTCGTTTGACTCTTCACTAGGAAAAATGGTTGGAGGAGATTTCAAGCTCCAATTAAATATTATTTTGTGATAGAAGACTGAGAGATTATGGTTAGATGATTGACCTAAGGCTGAAGGAGTTATTTTTGCCTTTTTGGTGCCCTAACCTGTGTAAAGATTTCTTGCAGCAGATCTTTCACTTCTTTCAGAGCTGTGGATTGTAGAACAGATGTAAACCTTTTTAGAGAGATTTATCTTTTTAACACCATTGGAACATAGCACTGTTTAAATAATGAGGGGAAGGGTTTGAGAGAGACAGAAAACTACTTTTCTCATCTTCCTCTTCCTGAAATGTGGAGAAAAATTGATAATAACTAATTGATCCTAATTATGCCTTTTGGTCACTGTCCTAGTATTTCCTGGCACATATGGAATGATTATACTTCACAAATGTTATAACCAGGCATTTTTTATTTAAATTTTTTTTTTTTTATGAGATAGGGATTTTGCACCAGGGACAGTGTGTTCTGGATTATAAACTCTGCATCATGGACCTCTGAGAAGTGGGAAGGGGAGAGCTGGCCAGCAAGAACATGGATAAGCTACAGCATGGTTGTGGCTGCACAGCAAAGCATAGAGGAGAAGCAGAGTGTCCTCTGCTTTGCAGACAGTTCTTGGTACATGGAATAAGATACCTCTGGTCATCTTGAAGATACTGTATTTCTCCTGGGTGGACTTAAATTGTTTCTTTCAAAAAGGAAGGAAAGTGACTACAGTGCAGGTGCCAATGAGATGTGCTGCTGATTGGTCCTGTGCTCCCTTCTCCATCTCACCAGGTCCCACAAACAGCTCTCAGAAGCTTTTAGAACTAATAAGTAGCTGCTAAGGTAGATTGTGCCACCTGAAGACTCCTTGATGTAGTAAAATTGAAAATGTCTATTTTCACAGAATCACATAATTGTTCTGGTTAGAAAAGACCTTTCAGATCATTGAGTCAAACCATAACCCAATTCTACCAACCATTGACCCAGCTCTGCCAAGTCCAGTACTTAAACCATGTCCCTCAACACCACATCTACACAACTTTTAAACACCTCCATGGACAGTCATTCAACAGTCTTCCTGGGCAGCCTGTGCCAGTGTTTCATTACCCTTTCTGTGAAGAAGTTACTTCTAATAACTGATCTAAACCTGGTGCAATGTGAGACCATTTCCTCCTTTGGAAAGCTCCATTTTGGGTAGTTCTCTTCTGGGCATCAAAACCAACTTTTCTTTCTTTTGAGAATGGTCAACACTCAACTATGACAACATCTCAGGGAAGTCTATCAAATAACAATTTCCCTGCTTTTTGCATCACTTTGTGTAACTGTGGGAATGTCTCTTTTTTCCAATGGATGGTGTGACTAAGTGGACCTGAGCTCTGTGTGGCAACTTCACTTTTCCACTGTTTCTGCTGACACCAAAGATGATTGATGGTAAAGCCTTAAGCCTCATGTGTTACCCACCAACCTGAATAAACAAAGACCAGTGTGGCAGCCTAATATTAAAAGCTATTAAACCTTCCTGGGGGTTCATGGATTAAATCAACTCACCAAAATGAATTTTAAAAAAAAGCTTTCTCAGGACTGAAGAAAAATGAACACAACAGTAAATGAAATAGAGCTATCCTCATCCAGCAGACTAAAGCCCTCCTGAGGGCTGAAGAATTACAACTTTAAACTTCTCTCAAGGGTGTGAGAGGAGACACAGTATTTGTGGATCCTAGGGAGGCAGCTTGAGGCTAAAAAAGAACAAAAAAGCCTTTAAGTCACAAAATATATAGATATAAATATCCCTGCAGACATTGCTTTCATTGGTCAAAAATAAGCATTAAAAAATAAAAACCTTCCCCTGTTAAAATTAGTATACATTAGCCCACTGCATGTTATTTTTCAGTTAGAAGAAGTAATTCAGATTTTTGCCATGCACTATTTTAATCTTGAGGGTCAGTAAACCTTGATAGTAACTTCAGCCAAAAATGCCAGCAGGTTGTTTATCATAAAATGACAGGAAACAGCTGGGATCTTATTTTCATCCTATTCTGATGCAATTATTAGTGAGCACAGTTGAAAGTAATATTTAGCAAACAAACTGCAATTGTATCCCAAAGAACAGCCAAAAAAACTGTATTTTCTCTCTGCAATACAGTAAGAAATCAGCCCCAAGCAATATTTCAGCTACCAGGGCTCCTTTCTCATTTTCTTTCTCCATTTGCAGCCAACCTAGTATTATATACCTATATCTTAAGGCACAGTCCCTATTTCTTCCTGATTTTCCAAGAAATTCCTTTGTCAAGAGGGAGCAACTCTGCTCCTTTGCAGAGTTAATGGCAAATGTTAACAGCCCTGGGAACACAGGTATGTAGAGGACACTTGCAGATTAAACTCTTGAAACCAGTGAGCTGGTTGAAAGAAGACTTGCACAATTAGAACCTTGTTGTTTTACTCACAGAGCTGTTAAAATTTTTGTTACATCTACTGACAATAAAACTTGCTTGACTTTCCTTCAGGAAAAATGATAGTAGGGGGCTTTTGCTGTGTGCCTGGCACCTGAGGAGGCTGCTGGAGTCCCAGAAGCTCTGTAGGCACAGCTAGATCCTGGTGTGGCAAGTTATACTGGAGTCCAGGCTCAGCTCCTGGTGTGGTCCCCTCCTGTAAATGCAGAACTTCATTCCCAGTCTGATGCCCAGTCTTGATTCCTGTCTCACCACTCCCAGTCAGGCCCCTGCCATGGGGTTTCTGTGCTGGTTGGGTCACCCCAACATATTGGCAAAGTGATTGATCATCCAGATCTTCTTACTCCTGAAATGGATCTTAATTTTTCAAAAATTAGGAAATTTAAGCATATTTCTCTTCTCACTGCCTGTTTCTGCCCCCGTCCCACCAAGAACAAATTTAACATGTTGAACTAACTGGAATATACGTTTCTGCTCTATCAGGGTCCCCACCCAAATGAGCTGCTGGCTCAGAAAATATTTATCCTGGCAAAGCACCTATGCAGAGCTTTCTAAGCCTATATAAAAGTAGTAGCATACATTTTTCAAAGATGTAAATTTTGATCCCTGGCTTATACACAAGCAGAGTTCAGACAAGGTTTCCTGTCTCACCCTTTTTTTTTCCTTTCCATTTGCATAGTGGCATCACTCACTTGCAGCACCCAAGGAAACCCTCTAATTGCCCATTTGCATAGAGATTTGGAGATTTCTTCTGCATGTTGGAATGACTCATAGGCCAGATTTTCCTCAAGTTTCATCAGATTGTTTTCTTCCTTTCCTATTGATAATTGTACTGCACATAATGCAGGTTTTGGCACGAGCTGCTTTTTTGCCAAAAGATGGTAATTGGCACCTCTTGGAGTGAACTTTGTGTTGGGTTCTCACGTGTCAGGGTGTCTGTGCTCCTTGCAGGCTGGGAGCTGGGCAGCTCCAACTCGTGGCTTCTTCAGATGTCGGGCTGAGGTTTTGATTTGTGGTTGCAATGGGAGATTCAAACCATTTGGGAACTAAAACAAAATTAGCACAAACCGGCGTTGGCGTGTAAATCATTGGAAAAAAAGATTCGATTTGAAAGCGTAAAGATATTTTATAAGTTAATCTGATACTGAATCCCTTTTATCCTTTATTTACATATTCAGCTGCTAATCCAGAAAAACACCTAAGTACTTGCTTAATTTGAATTAAGCAGTTAATCCTATTGGAAGTTAAGGATAGATGTGAGGCCCTGATTCAGCCAAGTAGTGGAGTGTGTGAGCAGTTCTGGACTCAGCTCAACCAAACTCTGTGGACTTTCCCTGGATCAAGATTCAGCAAATGTAACAAACCCAGAGAGATACAAAGCACAATCCTTCCAGCTGATCTGCCTTCTCTTATCATTGCTTTGGAACTTTTTTTCCTTCTTTACAATGCGTGATAAGGTTTGGGACTAAAACCTCCTCCTTTAGATGCAATCAATCATTTTGGTGTGATCATCTTGTAACACGTCTCAGGTTCTCAAACCTATTTGTTGAAAGTCCTCATGAAGTCAAGGAAGATACAAAGCACAATGGAAAACTGCACAAGTAGAAATAAAAAAAAAGGCCTGAAAGCACCTAGAAGTTGAGAAATTTTGAATTAAAATCTTGGGGAAATGGTAATTCACTTTCTCTAAGGGAGAGAGGGGCACATACCACCCTAGTGACCTGGTTCAGGTCCCTCCAAAGACAAAAAGAAAAATTCTGACTATCAATTTGCAAAGTTTCTGGTTTTAAATGCTCCATTGAGATAGACCTAGGAATGATTATTGCTTCTTCAGACCTTGTCCCAACAAATGCCTTACTGTTTCCTTTTCATTATTTTTTCCTATTCTCTATATATTCTTTGTTCCTATGGTTCCTTTTTTCCGTTCTTCCTCTTTTTTACTTTACAGGTCATTGCTGATCTTTCTTCTCTCTTCTTCACTTTCCCTTGATATCCCAATTTCGAGTTTACTTGGACAAAAAATTGGGCAAAAGAAGCCAAAAAGTTACTCTCTGGCTTCCAAGAGTAGCCATCTATATATAAATGTATTTTTGCTGTGTTCCAGGTAATCCTTATACGACAAGAATATGAAGCCACACTCAAAGGTCTGTTGCCAGCATCTTTGAGACAGGAACTTGAAGACACCATTTTATCTTTAAAATCTCAGGTAAATTTTTACTATTTATCTTCAACTTTTTGAACTGGGTAAAAACTGCCTCTTCTAGACAAGAAATTAATGCCATCTATAATTTGGCCCAAACTACTGAGTAAGTCTCAAAACCACATTATGGCAGCACTTGCATCCTCCTGTCTCAGTCATCTGCCACAAGGCTTTTCTTCCCTTGTTTCCTCACCTTGAGAACTACCATATTGTATCTTTTGATGCCAGATTTTGCTTCAGTTGGCAACTGAAAGTAGAAATTACCTTGTATTCAGTGTTAGGGTTGGTTTTTTTCTCAACCATTCAAATACAGCACACAATTATCTCCCATCTTCCTTTCCTGTTTCTCCTGTAGGAAGCATTTAAAGGACACAAACAAAAGGTGCAGAAGAGTATGAGAAATTATTTTGTTTTCTTTCAGCCTATATAATAAAGCAAATGGCATATGTCTTTTAGGCAGTAATCCAAATTATCATTGTGATATTTCTACACTTTCCAATATAAAGAGGCTCTAATAAACTGCCACAAGGGCTTTGTTTGAATATTGCAAAACACTCGCTCATCTAGAATAACACAGGATCAATATTGTGTGTATGAAATAGACTCTAAAACTGGCTAACAGAGATATCAAAATGTCATTGTAAATAGGGAACTGCTAATGAATTGGGTGTGTTTCTTGTACTTGGTTCCCTCAGCAGTGGATGCTGTCCTACTCAGTGCATTAGGATCTGGAAGAAAACAAAATGTTATTGTTGCCTGAACTCACATGAGGAAGGATAAATAGCACTAAGGAGGAGTGATCAGAGATGTGGAATAATGGGAACCCAAAGAAAGCACTGCCAGTGTCTGCATATGGCAGGACTGCACATTTCAATATACTGGGAAGGACTGGGATCTGGCCTGGAGGGAAGAAATGAGAGAAAGGCAGGGCAGTGCTGGTGACTTGGAGCTGCCCACGAGCTCTGGGAAGAGCAAAAGCCCTGAGAACACAGCACACAAGTTTAGGCTTGATACCAGCACATGCCTTGTACCAATTTTCAGGACTACTTTTTCCAGGAATTATAGATCTGCAGACTCTCCATTTCTCTTTCTCTATGGACAGTCTCTCTCTATGGACATGGTTGGTGCTTTGATGTATTTGGGATTTTTCCCTTTTTTTTTTTTCCTTTCTTTACAATGCAGAAGCATTTCTTGCTGTGCATGAGACACTTCCCCTGGCAAAGTCTGTGTTCAGTAGAAGTAGGTAATTTTCATTGGGGAAAGTTTCCTATTCCTACATGCTAGTATAGAATCATAGAATGGTTTGAGTTGGAAGGGACCTTAAACATCATTTAGTTCCCACCCCCCTGCATGGGCAGGGACACCTCCCACCAGCCCAAGTTGCTCAGAGCTCTATCCAACCTGCACTTGAACACTTCATAGTTTAGTAGTGACACAACTTCAACATTGCAGTTCTAAACACTCTGCTTACATGTCAAGGGATTCCCAATGGAACCAATGCTCCTTGTAATTTAAATAGTTGCAGGAAATAAAGAGTTAAGGATCTACTGGGGAAATCTATTTCCAGTTGATAGTAAAAGGCTATTTTTAAAGTGCAGTTGACTGTTAGCACTGTCTGGTAGGAAGCATTACTCTGCAGCTAGTATAGGAATACCACACTTTTTAATGAGTTTAAAAAAAAAAAAAAAAAAAAAAAGTAGAATCTGATATCCACCTGCAGGGCTTCTGTGAGCAGCAGCAGCATTTCAAAAGAGTAGAGGAGCAGAGTCAAAGCTGGGTGCTGGCCCAGAAAGGCAGAGCTGCCGGCTGCGTTCCCAGCAGCCCGCTGGTGTGGCAGGGCCTAGAGCACAGGGTCCTTCTGAAGCACAGGTGTCCTGGGCTTGGAAAATTGTTGACATTCCTCTTTGAAAACATCAGACAAGAAGGGCAGTGGAATCTCTGCACCTGTCAGGATTATTTATTGTTGGAAGAGGATGAAGAGAATAGGCTGGGTAAAAACACCGAGCAGCGATAAAAATACACAAAATAAAAGAAAATACTTGAGGCTGGGGCAAAGTTTTCTAAAAATGTTGCTAAATATAAAGTATGCTGCCCAGTTGTCTGCACTGGGGAGTTGTCTAAAAGTGGCCACAGTGCATTAATAAAGATTCTTTTTCATCCACTTCACAAACAGGTGAGTACCTTCATTACAGGAGCAGAAGTGCAGGGATCAGAGCACAGGCTTCCTATGGGAGTTGACAGTGGAACTGGAGCTCCCCAACCCTTGCCTGAGCCATATGGTCCCACCAGAGGAGTTTAGAAACTCCCTTGACTCTGTTGCTGAAGCAGGAGGTAGCACAAGCTGGAGCAGGGCCAGGGGAGCTGTGCTAACCATCTTCTCTCAAGCATTAATTCTAGGATGCAGCTAAAGCATTGCTGCATTTTATTGAGGTGGGATAGAGGAGGAAAAGCACCCTTTATAAAATGAGTGCAAAGTTATTCGTTAAGAGTTTTGTACACTGTTTTCATGTGGGATGTGTTTTCCAGGTGAACATTCTGCAGAACAGAGTTTCTGTGCTGCAGGAAGAGCCACGCCAAAAGGTGCGCCATTACCTTTGATCAATTTGTACCTTTTCACACCTGTGGATCCCAGTTATTGAAGTTTTACAGCTTAATTAAAACACTCAAGTACGGTTGCAGTTTTAAAAGGTCCTTATTTTCAGTAAACAAGCGTCTGAGAATTTTCCCAGTGCTTAGTCAGGACTTTAGAGCAAGATTAGAGATCTCGCAGGTGCGTTACAAGTCTGGGCTTTGCCTCCACGTTCATGATGAGACAGTGGCTGGGTGCACAGCTGCAGCTCTGTGGTGATGCCACCTCCTTTTAAGATAGAAGAGAATGATGCAACGTGGAATATTACAGATCACATCTTCAAAGTACCGGATCTTCATGAGCCAGAGCTTTTTTTTTTTCAGACGTTTACACCCTCCAGTATAAATTACAGCAAGTGCTGCAGCAATAAAAAGCCTTGCTGTGCCTTTAGAGTAAGCAGCGGGTTCATGAGCCAGAGCTTTTTTTTTTCAGACGTTTACACCCTCCAGTATAAATTACAGCAAGTGCTGCAGCAATAAAAAGCCTTGCTGTGCCTTTAGAGTAAGTGATTCACGTGGAGAGGTGAGTAAAAGGAAACTTGCTAGGAAAGCCACTCCATCTTTTTTTATATTTATAGACTTTGATGATACTTTCTTCTCTCCCATGAGGGTTTCTAATGGGTGCTTGTAAAAATGGTGTAAAAAATTTGTGAGGTATTTAAACATTTGTAGAAACATTAGCAGTGGGAAAGCTGTCTGAAAATATTAAGCCTAAATTATTTGTTAAGGAGAATTAGGTAAAGGTAATTGGAAACTGAAAATGTCATAAATGCTTGGTAATGTGGGCAGTGCAGGTACCTTTGTCAGAAGAATCCACAGGTGTAATGTTGTCTCCAGACTCTCCACTGGCAGCAGCAGCGTTACCAAGGGACACATTTTGTCTCGAGCTTGTTGTGAATTAGTGTCTTCACAGTCAGGAAAGTATCTGGTGAAAAAGATGAGTGATCCTGTAGTGTTAGATCAGGCCAGGCCACAACTGACCGACACACTGGGGGTGGAAGGAGCCCCAGCCAGGTCCTGGTGGGGAGGCAGGACAGGGATGGAGCCAGCTTGGCTCACGGCAGCTCCTGCTGCTGCCTTTGCTCCTAGGCTTGGAGAAGCTTTTGCGCTGCTTCTCTCCAGGAAAATCTTGCTGACCAGATCTTTTTTTCCAAAACTACACTCACTAAATTTTCTGTTAGCATTTGCCAGACCCTCAGTCACTGAAATACCACTTTTTGCTGTTTTCACACAAGCCTGCCCATGGCTGCAGGTGGGATGTGGCTCCTGGGCAGCAGGATCCCCCGTGTGCTCCAGCATGCCCAGCACAGCACTGGCCACAGCCAGGATCCAGCCCTGGCCACAGCCTGTTAGGTTTTGATAGGAAGGATATTAGGATACAACTAACAAGAATCTCTTCATTTCCAGGTAGCTGCTGGAGCGGTTGGATCTCTCCGGTTGCCAAATGGACTGCTTTGAATAGGTTTGAAGATTTGGCTCTTGCAAATTAAAATGCAAAGATCAGTGGCAGTTTTGTTAGCACATAAAGCATAATGAAATTTATTAAAACACATCCATTGTTCATGACAGCATGTTTTTAGTTGTATCTTCCTTCCATTATTTTTTTATCATTATCTTATTACAGACTTGTGCTTTTGATATCCTGTGTTTGACCCCATGCTCAGCTTGCTCACTCAGCAACTACTACTAATTTTGTTGTTTCTTCCCAGAGCCATTCTTTCCCCTTTTATACATGAAGAAAATCCCATTTTCTATTCTTATTGTCCAAGATATTTTAACATATTTTGACATTGTTTTCCATCCATGGGTTTACATAATATTAAAATATTATTATTTTGTACTATTTTGTTTTGACATTTCTTGTCCTGCTTGGGCATCTCACTCACCCAAGTAGCCATAGTGCAGAGGGGAGTTTTGTGTAGCTGTGGAAACTGGGAGAATATTTTGTGCTTTGTTTCAAGGAGAAATCTCAGAGTGAGAATGAAAGCACCATGGTGACAAATGTGGTCATTGTGGCCAGCTAAAGGCACATAAACCTGTGGTAGGGGTTTCATACGCCGGTCACAGGAAAGTCCTTTGGCATTGACTCATAACACAGTTTTGGGGCATTATTGAAAAAGAGCCATAACTGATAGGGCCTTGGTTGTGTGTGGGCACGTGCAGGCTTTCCTGGCTGAGCCTGGCACATTAAGCAGATTCCCAAGGGTTTGCAGGATGAGGTTTGAGGAGTGGTGGAAAGCTGAAGGGCCCGGACAGGGAGTTGTCCTTGTAGCCTGCTCTGCCTCCCAGGCACAGGGGCTTCCTCATCTCCTGGCCACCCGCAAGCCAGACTGTGCATTAGCACACTTGTATCTGCACAGGGAGGTGTGCTGAACACAAGAACAGCTTTTGCACCCTCCTGCCAGCAGCATTTGTATCCAGGCACAGTTAATGGTGCTTGAGAGGGGGCCAGAAATCCCTGCCTTCTAAGCCCAGCTGCGGCACTGGCGGCAGCAGCCAGACCCCCCGTGTCCCTGCTGATGGGCACAGCCAGCTCCCCTCCTTAGCACGGTGGCACTGGCACTCAGGGTGCCCCAGTGCAGGCAGGATTCAGAGGGGGAGTGCCCGCAGCTGGAGGTGGCTGCCCCCCAGGTCCCAGCTCACCAGCTGCCCTCTTATCTCCGCCTGGCACCGAGATCAAGGAGGAGAAGCTTTGGCAGGCTGGGCTCCATCCACCCCCACCTCCTGGCAGCCTGGGCAGGGAGCTCCTTGCCAAAAACAGGCTCCAGTGTTGCTGGGTGCTTTGCTGATTGTCAGTCTGGGCTGGGGCTGGGCAGTATTTTCCACCTTCCTTGAATCAACAAGTGATTCTTCTCATTATAGATAAGGGGTTGTCATGGCTCTGATAAGGGGGGAGGTGCTGGGGCAGGTGCCACAAAGCCTGGCCTGGGGCAGCGGTGGGTTTTAGTGGGAGGAATCTGTTAGGATGCATTTAGTTGAATTGTGGGCAGTAAAATGAAACGTATTTACTCAAGAGCAGTGCTGGGCAGCGATGGTTGGGCTGTGTGGGAGAGGCACTGGGAGCTCCCAGAGCTGCAGGCTGCCCACGTTGGGATTCACCTGCTGGATATCACCCTGTGTCCAAACAGCAGATGTTGGGACAGTGAAATCCCTCCTCTCATGTTTGAAGGAAACGAGGTTTTTCCATTGCTGCTGGTCTGCTTGTGTTCTTAGGTGCTATCTGGGTGGTTGTGGTGCTTTTGAAAGTGTAAGTGCTGGTACATCCATAAAGAAACACATGAACCCTCTTACAGCCTATTGAATTTAGGCCTCAGTTTCCTTCTTTTTGATGGAATTGCATTGGTGATGTTGGTGATGATCAAAAAACAGCTTGAGAAATGTAGATCTTGGTCAACCTGGGAGTTTTAAAACTCTGGGAATGGTGTGTTTGATGCTCTCCAGCATAGAGTGTGGGGACCATTTTGAAGGTGAAATTCAATTCAAGAATGGTAAATCCAGGGTTGGTTGGAGTTCTCTTGTTGTTAGCATTTCTTTGATCATGTTTGTCACAAGTAAGAGTTAAGAGTAGAAATTGCAGGATCAGAGATGTTTTCATACCTATTACTTGATCTCTACCTCTCCTTACCTGCTGGGTAAGGAATTGCCAGCTGCCAGTAGCTTCATGGCCCAGAAAACAAGCTCTGGTGAAACCAGCTTGAGTATGGTTAGAGCTTTATTTGTACTTTTTATTTATTTAATTGTACTGAATTTTGTAGTGGGAGAGACTGTTTCTCTATATAAAACCCCACAAGGAGACAGGCATCATAACATTTTTCACCAGTATCAAGGGTGGTGACCCTGGTCCAGGTGACACTTGATTTCAGTGCCACTCACAGTTCTTGTGCTGCATGTAACAAATCTGCTCATTTCTGGTGCAGCTGGAAGAAAAGAGCAACAATCTCCCTCCCTCTGCTTGCTTCTGCAACAGTGCTTTAATTGTACTGCTGACAGCAGATACTCCTGGTACTTGCCCAAATCTCTGCTGACCACGGATGCAAATTGAGAAATTATTTTGCTGCATAGAAAAAGGTTTTATTGTGACGAGGAGAAAATATTTGGGATCCCTAGAATGGCTCCCAGTGCTTTATTGAGATTTTTTGAACCCTTGAACAGCTTTGATCCTAACAATGAGCAGTCTTGGTAGAGAGTGTGTATGGGCTCTGATTTCTGATTTTTTTTTTAATTCCCTTAATGCTCTGCAAGTCCCTCCCAAATCACAAAATGTACTTGGAGGCACCACACTACCAAATTATACTTGGTCTCGTTCAGAGGGTACAAAGGAAAAGTGAGATGTCAGATATTGTATGAAAAAGTTTCAGAACACAAGGTCATTTTAATTCAGACTTTTCTTTTTTCAAGGAACTATCTTTTCTAAGCTTTGATATTTTGTTCAGAAAGGTCATTTCTTTTAAGCCTTTGTCACTAAAGAAGACTTCTTCTTTAAAGTGTGCTATCAAAGGGTGCAGAAATTGCAAGTTACTGACACTAAAACGCGTGATCGGTTTCAAGTCTGGCAGCTAAAACCCGCTTAAAATTAGATGTGCTCTGGTAGTGGAAGACAGGCAGTTGGGCAATTCCAACCAAAAAAGTGAAGATAATTAAATAAAACTTTTCCTCCCTAAATTAGAAATCTTCTGTGTGTGAAAAAGCATTGAAGGAACTGAGTAAGGATCTGATCCTACAGAAACGTGAGAGTGTGTCTGTTCTGTTTAACACTTTCATAAGGTCTTTTACATAGAATTATGCAGCTCTCTTTCATGTTATCTGACATTTGCAATAATGTAAATAAGTCAATCCCCTGGACAAAATTCCATTTATTTACCCTTTGCTCCCAGGAGATGACCTCTCCTTCACTGCCAGACAAACATGGTAACAGAAAGGAGTGAAGACCTTGTGTTGTGCCCCTGCTTTGCATCCCTGACCCTCATCCC